TTTTAGGGGGTTATTGATTGGGACAAGTTGGGGCTAAGTGGGATAATTGTTCTAATGAAACAATTTTATCCCTTAGGGATATTTTGAGTGATGTAAAGTAAGACAATTTAAGATAATGAGACAATTTGAAGCTTTGATTTGACAATTCATGTGGGATAATTGATGATGTGACACTTTATTAAAGTATAATATTTATCTATTAATTAAGTCTAAATTTATTTATCTAATTGGTTTAGCATATTATTTGATATGTTATTATAATATAATACATTATTTTACTTTATACTAAACTATAATATATTATATTATAATTACTAATTAATTATAACTTTGTTTAATGTTATTAATTAATTTCATATAATATATTATAATAATATGATATAATATTTTATTTTTATTTTATGATAATTACTATAATTTAAATAGAATAATTGATAACATGGCTCCTTATTAAAATATAATATTAAAAATAATCATAATATGCTATTAATATGTTCAATTTTATTAATTAAAAAATATTATTAAATAATATAATATATTATATTAATTTTATATATGCTAAGATACCAAATTGCTATATTTATATGAACGCTTTTGCCAGTTTGGTATTTTTAAAAACTCCGGCGACGACAAGGCATTAAAGCTCGTGCTTTTTGTCAATAAGGTACTTTTCTCAAAACTCCGGCGAGAAATTTTACATTTAACCCCCTTATCTTCCAAAATTATTAAATTTGTACCCTCTCTCCTCCTCCTCCTCCTCCTCCTCCTCCTTCTCCTCTCCCTCTAGCGCACCATCGTCCTCCTTCTCCTCTCCTCCATCCTCATCTCCCTCCTCTGGGTCAATCTCGGCCCCCTCATCCCCTCCCTCCCTCTCCTCCTCCCCCTCCTCCTCATACGCTGAAAGTCGCAGCTGCTGAAAGAACAGAGAATTCAAAGGTTGTTCAGCATTTTTGTGATCAGTTAATGGAAGCCTAAATAATTACCTTTGTAGTGAAAATTAACAATTTGAAACATGGTGCTTCACAAGAGATTGGACCATGGATCCAGTGGCTATCGGGTTCCTCCGATGCCACGAGTTCCGAGATCAGCTAGGGTCTATACATAAACATTACTCATTCTTGATTTGTTTGTTTGAATTTTCAGATCAGTGCATTTGTTCTGCTTGCCACTGTGGTGGGAGAATTGTTATCCTCAGAGAGAGAATTCTCCACCTCCATGTAAGATATCTGCAGGAGCTAACATTAAGCAAGAGCAGCAAGACAATGAGATTCCATTCAAAGCTGAAGTCTTTGATCAGGGGAGCTGCAATGAAAGTGCATTGGGTTCTTCGGAATCTATGTTTAAGAGGCAGGTTGGTACTCCAAAATCCTTGGAGAAGAATGCTGGAGAATTGGTGGCTGAGGATGGAATCAAGAGGAGGGAGATGGGGACGGAGGAGAGGAGGAGGAGGACGATGGTGCGCTAGAGGGAGAGGGGAATGGTAAAGGAGGAGGACAAGGAGGAGAGAGAGAGCACAAATTTAATAATTTTGGGAGATAAGGGGGTTAAATGTAAAATTTCTCGCCGGAGTTTTGAAAAAAGTGCCTTATTGACAAAAAGTACGAGCTTTAATGTCTTGTCGTCGCCGGAGTTTTTAAAAATACCAAACTGACAAAAGCGTTCGTATAAATATACCAATTTGGTATTTTAGCCATTTTATATATATTAGCATACTCTAATATATAGTAATTTATTATAACTTTTATTGTAGTTATAAAATATTATTTAATATTATAACTACCATAATATTAACAATATATTTATGACTATTAATTAATATAATAAAGTATAATAGAAAATAGTAAATTATTATATAATAAATTATATTATAATATAATTAATATATTATTATATTAAATATATAAAAACTATATTAGAATACAATATTTTATATCATAAAAATACTATAATATTTTTATTCTAAATAATAAAATATATACTAAATAATATAAAGTAATATTATAATAATATAATACTAATATTATAATATATAATACTAATATTATAATATATAATACTAATATTATAATATATGAATTATTAACCAATATGTAATAATGATATATAATAATGTTATATTAGATAATATTATATAATATTTTATTATCTTACGTTATAATAGAATTTTATACTATAATATAATTAAGATATATTATATATTATAATACAATTAACATAAATTAGATATTTAATAAATTAGTGCTTCAAAATTATCATACTTTCCTCATGATTGTCCCAAAGTTAAGAATGAGGTAATTTTTAAAGGTTGGGACAAAAAGTTTATAAAGAAGTGGAATAAATTTGGAAAAGTGGGGGTAGTTGTCCCAATGAATAACATCTTAAAGTGAAATCTCAATCTCATTGTACTAATGAATAACACCATAAAGTAAAGTCCTAAAAATTATCTCACTAAGTCGGTTATCTCGTAGCCGCCCTCTCTAGGGTTTTGAAAAGCCTAGTTTTTAGTTGGCTCTCTCTTGTAGCTGCCCCCTCTCTAGGGTTTTGAAAACTCTTGATCTCAGTTTGTTCCTTTTCCTCTCTGAAAGCGCGTAATGCTTTTCTCCCCCTCCCTCGTGACAGATCTTCATCGGCACGACTGTCTCTTTTCATTTTTTCTCTGGCCGATTTCTACAATCTTTGTGAGGCACGACCCTTTCTATCTCACTCCGATAGTTTTATAGCGAATTATTTGGCGAGAACTGAGTCTCGTCCCCAACCCTCACGGTAGTATTCAGGGTTTCCCACATCTCGGCCTCTGAGGTAGCTGTCTCTCAATTCACACGAACGGCATCGCTGTTTCATAATTAATTAACAACATCGTCGTTTCATATTTATTTAATGGCATCACCGTTTCATATTTATTTAACAGCATCACCATTTCATATTCAATTAATGGCATCGCTATTTCATATTCAATTAACAGCATCGCCGTTTCAGAGCCGCCTTTCGGTCTCTAATTAACGGCATCGCCGTTCAAACTGTTTCTTAGATTCAAATTAATGGCATTGCTATTTTAAGATCGTCTATCGGTCTTATATTAACGGCATCGCCGTTTCATATTTATTTAACGGTATCATCGTTTCATATTTAATTAACGGCATCACCGTTTCATATTCAATTAACGGCATCACCGTTTCAAGGCTGCCTTTCGGTCTCCAATTAACGATATCGTCGTTTAAGCTATCTCTCAGACTCAAATTAACGGCATCACCATTTTAAGACCGTCTATCGGTCTCATATTAACGGCATCACCGTTTCAAGCATGCTCTCAGCTCCAAATCAATTTGGAACATGACGAGAATTGATGATGATAGGCTGGCCGAGCTTTGTGCCAAATGCAGCTTAGATGACGAAGATGACCTTGTTTTTCTATCAACTAAGGACCGGACAGATTCGCCTTCCCTTAACAACTGTCTCTTGGGAAGGTTTTTGGTAGGAAGATTGCTAATAGAGATGGTATTGAGCGTGTCCCTAGGAAGGTATAGATTGTAGATGCCCCCTTCTAGGTGGAACATTACAGTGGAAGGAATACTTTCCTTTTCAGATTCGGTTCCGATGCAGATAGGGAGAAAGTGCTTGATGGTGGGCCATGGTACTTTAAAAGGAACTTGCTCAATTTGATTGTTCCTCGTGGGGTCGGTGCCCCAACTGCTCTGAATTTCTTTTTAACTTTATTTTGGGTAAAAGTCAAGAATGTACCACTGGCTGTGATGAACGAGAGGTGCGCCAGAGACTATGGCTCGCTTATAGGAGAACTTAAAGGGATTGATTTGCGGGATAACAAGATGCGGCCAAGAATTCTCGTGGATATTACTGAGCCTCTAAAAAGAGGCATACATGTTTGCTTTGAAGAGACCGGGGAGATTGAGAAGCTCTTCCTCACCTATGAGAGACTTCTTGACTTTTACTTTTCATGTGGCATTATTGGCCGCAAAGCTGCTGAGTGTGACAAACGAAGTGTACAAGTCGATGGTATTTTTATCACATTCAAAATCAGATATGGTTCTTGGCTCAGAGAACCCCCTCTATCTTTCAAGGTCTTTGAGACTCAGTCTTCTAGAGTAACTGAAGCAGATCATGATGGGCATAAATAACCATCATCTTGGGTGGTCTCAGATGATACTTAGGATGATGATTCACATGGTAGTGCTCCACTACAGATTATTCCAGTCACGGTGAGGTGTGAAACCACTCCTGTACCCTTGCCCATGGATACTGGTGTTGGCTCTTGTTTTCGTCAAAAGTTGCCTTCATCATTGATTTCATTAAAACTTCAAACGTTACAAATGAATTCAAATAACGAAAATAAAAATTATAACTTTCTTGAAAATAAACACAAGATCCGTTTATCGTCTCTTGCTTGCATGGGTCTTTAGCCTGTGACGGGGACGTCGATATCCGTGGACTACCTGGCAATCAGATCTGATCCAGAAAAATCGGGCAGAGCTTCGTCGATCCGCGAGGAGATCTAGAAACTTGGAGCGCCTATCTCGGATAAAGCGAGATATTTGCTCTTCTTAGGATTACCGACGAGGGGTAATGCTAAGGAACGGATGCGGGTGATGTAGATCTGATGAAGAACTCTCTTGTATTGAAGTGCTCGATCACTCTTCACTCCAGCAGGGCTTCGCCAATTCTCCAAAAATCCAGATCCTCCAAAAGTGAGGCCTAAAGCTTCTATTTATAGGCGACACCCCTGGGGTGTCCTCAAAAATC